AAGAAAAACAGCTATGTCATGGTTGTAAAGCAGAATCAGTAACATTGAGCTCTCTCAAATTACATTACATCAGCATCCCTCTACATGGCCATGCTTTGCTACAGGGAGCATCCAGCAGAGCTCCAGGACACAGAACCCATCAGCAGCTCATGAGCACCACTCTGTGGCAGAACGTGTGATGGTACTGTGCAGCCATTAGATAGCAGCAAAGAGCTAAAGTGCTTCGCTGTGATACCTGTGTGACCTAAATGACAAATGAAAATAAAAAGTGATGGACAGAAGTTTCTCATCATTACTGGATGTATTTTCACTCTAACTCACCTCCTTATAATAGTTTCACCTATTCCTCTGGTTGTTGTTCTTGTTGTGTTGCTATGTTACTGACATTTATTTAATTTCTCTTATCCTTCTGTGAACTCCTAGTTGTCTTTGTTCCACCCTTGCTGCTGCTCAGACACCTGAACTGACCTATGGGGAAAGGTTTATCTTTTCATATTTTTGTATTCATTCATGTAATGTCTTGTTTTGTCAAAAGGAGTAAAGAATCCAGAAAATATGCACAATAAGAAGCTAGAGTATTCAGACTTTTTTGTGACTCAAATCAAACAAATTAAGCGCTTTTTTGACAATTCATTTAAGAGTAACTACAACTAATCGATTTATCTTTGCAGCTCTAAAACCAACCAGTATTTTCCTACAGGGGCAAATTGACAATTGTTTCAGACAACATGCTTTTAGCTGATTCAATTGTAGTACTAACAGACTGAAGCGTTAGCGTGGTAAAAAAAAAAATCGAAGTCATGCAAACATTCGTCCTGTGATCAGAGCCTCTCCTGCCCTGACAAGTCTGCCCCTGCAGGAATTCACTGTGTTGTTGTGTGACTTTATCATAGCCTCAGGGAAGGTATTCCTCTCCTTCCACTCCTACAATCACGCCCACACATTCTCAGTAGTGCGCATTCTCAGTAGTGCACACACACACACACACACACACACACACACACACACACACACACACACACACACACACACACACACACACACACACACACACAGAAAGCACTCTGCACTTGTTATATGGGTGTGGTTTCTGCTGTGCAAGCAAGAGCAGAAGGGAGCGGCATAATGACAGCCAGTGTAAATATGAACCCTTGACTCTGTTTGATAACTGATTATTAAATACAGTTAATGATGATAGGCGGCAAACGTTTTGAGAGATGCGGAGGAGTCCTTATCTCGGTATTTCTTTAAAACATGCCTCTTGCTTTCATGAGTGCACAAGCTGACCCAGATCACTCAGATCATTTCAGTCAGATCAATTATTCATAATGAGATGACAGGACGCACTTGCTTCCTCTTGATATGCCAGAGACATAAACGTGATGCTTGCTCTTTAATGGCCCAGGATAATGTAAAGCGCTAAATAGTCAAAAGCCGTAGTCAGCAGTTGACTGAAATCAGGGTTAATTCAAAAGTCATACCAGTCCCCCTCCTTTTTTTTTTTTTACTGCTTCACTTTGTTAATTTCCTGTCATAAGAACACGTTGTGCAGGAGAAAATCTAACGAGGACATCCAAGGTTTCAGTATGTTCAACAAGGGGCTCTGGGCAGCCATTTGAGCTGGGCTTTATATGTCAAAATAAACCTTAAAATGAACCACTATATATCCAGAAAACATTCTTTTTCACCTTGGAAATTGGTTGACATATTGGACCCTTCGGTACTATTCAGCTCAAATTGACCTAGGAAATGATTAGGAATACGTTACATAAATAAAAACATACACAATGCCCACAATATATATTATCTCAATTCCCAACAATATAAGTAACATATAATGCAAATAAGTGCATTGCATTTGTTGTGATAAGAATACAAATCCACTATAATAAAGACTTGTATATTCAAGCTTATCCAAGAAAACATGAACACTTTACATAAAACCTTTTTCAAAGAATATGTATACGAGCTCCTCACATTCCCGGGCAGAATCTGCACCATGTGCCGGGGCTTTTTTGAAAAGAGGAAAAATAATCTCACTTGGTATGTGCAGAAACAAAGGAACACATAGAGAATACTTTTGGTGCAACAATGGAAGATAAAGTGAGATTATACACAACAACTTCATCCTTTAATTAGATCAGAATGTGTTTTTGAAAGAAAGAATACAGATGATAAATAACAGAAATACACAGTATTGTAGATGCCGGCCATCTTGAGGAAATAGAGAAGTGTAACCCAGTGTAATGAGGCTGTTCAGCCTTCCATAATTACCATTACATTAAAGGTCCCATGACATGGCCATTTCTACTGATCATAATTCCATTGTTGAGGTCTACTAGAATAGATTTACACTGTTCAATGTTCCAAACTCACATTGGTTTCTCAGACAGCATCTCTGTATAGTATGTGTATTCACTCTCTGTCCTAAACGGCTTGTTGGAGCTCCTGCCCCCCCCCCCTCCCTGTGAGCCCAGTGTGCTCTGATTGGTCGGGACGTTGCGAGGCTCGTTGCTGCTCGCAGCTGCTGCGAGCTGCTGCGAGCTGCTGCGAGGAGCGGACAGGTTTCCGGGTCGGCGATACAGCTAGAACAAGCGAAACTCATCCTGAGCACACACAACACTCACAGCCGAAGTAAAAACAATAAATGTGGCTTGATATTGAGTAAGAAAAAGGTTTATAACGCTGTGAGAATGGGTCTGCAGAGAGCATTTCTCCGCCATCCCAACTCGTCTATTACTAGTGTTCAGGGAGCTCTATGCAAGTCAATGGGGACTCCCTGTTAGTTAGCCAAGGGATCCTGGTGTGTGAGGTGCTCCGCGGATTGGTCCATTTGGGCCAATCCGGTCATTTGTTGTTGATTTGGGTGTTCACACGTCACAGAACCCAGGAAGCAAAAAATGGAAAATGAAAAATCTCCAACGAGGCGTTCTGGGGCAGCATAGACAGGTATTTTCTGTGTTAGAGTTTTAGTCCCTACAGGGTGTACTTTGAGGGTTTGTGACTCTGCAGACCGTTTACATGCAGAAAAACCTTCATAACACACAAGGGGACAGGTACTAACCAGAAAAGCATGACATGGGCCCTTTAATACAAAATGTAGCATATAATGTCATCTATACATACTGTACATACATATTAATATTGCTGAATGCAGCATTTCACGGCACTCTTCTTCAGCAGCCGCTTGGTATTTGACTCCCTGCACAATCATGTTTAAATGTTTTTATCACGCAGAACTTAAAAACCATTGATTGATGCTTGCATGTTTTTTCATTATTTTTATGGGTATTTTATTGCATTTTATTTGTTTACTTTTGTGTTGTCATTACCTCATCTATGTTAATATGTTTTTTTTTAAAGGTTCTATATAATGAAAGCTCATGAAGTAGATTCATACTTACCCCACCAGAGGTCACTGCACCAAGTCAAGCAAAAGCTAATATCCCTAAAAATAAACAGTATATATATAGCCATCAACAGTAGAAAAATACATACAGTATAAAGTATCTATAAAGTACGCACTCTAAAATATACAGAATGGTATCTATGGGACTACAGATGAAAATAAATTCTACTTGTACAAATATTTGTATATCATTACAGTATACAGTAAATGTATTTACAGTACAGTATTTCATTTTGACTTTCTGTTTTATCTTTTTATATCTTGCATGCACATCTTATGTCTTATTCCTGCATTTTATTTGCACCATTGTGTCACCCGCAGTATTTTTCCGTTGTACTATTTGACTGCCTTGATTCTTTTTATCTTATGTATATTGTATAGTGCTCTGTTGGAGGATTCTGCAACTATGCTGTAGCTATTGTGCATATGACAATAAAACCTTAAAACCAATAAAACCTTTAAATCTTGAATTAACTCAGGGTTATTCAGTTGATTCATGGTAATGGGCATTTAAATGTAAGTCAAAGTCACTTTATTGTCAATTTCTATGTATGTGATAAAAACCTGGAGATCAAAATGCTGTTTCTCACTGTCCCAGGGAATAAGAATATATAAATATGTACATATATGTATATATATATATATACACACACACACCTGAACACCCACTTATATATATATATATATATATATATATATATATATATATATATATATATATATATACACACATACATACGCACAGAGGTGGAAGAAGTACTCAGTTCTGATACTTCAGTAAAAGTAGAAGTACAAGAGAGTAGGAATACTCTGTCACAAGTAAAAGTCCTGCATTCAAAATGTTACACAAGTAAAAGTAGAAAAGTATTAGCGTCAAAATATAGTAAAAGTAGTCATTGTGGAGATTGGTCCATTTCAGAATAATATATATGATATGTTTTATAATGAATGATCATTAAAGTGTTCTCAAAGCTGGTAAAGGTGCAGCTAGTTTGAATGACTTTGTATACTGCAGGGTAGCTTGTGGATTTACTCCAGGTGGAACTAAAGTCTGATTTAAGACTTGATTATATTGTTTATCCACAAAGTAACTCAATGTATTACATAAATGTAGCGGAGTAAAAGTACAATATTTACCTCTGAATTGTAGTGGTGTAGAAGTGCAAAGTAGCAACAAATTGAATTACAATACTTAAGTACACTACAAGTACCTCAAAAGTGTACTTAAATACAGTAGGCCTACTTGAGTAATTCTACTTGATGACTTCCCACCTCTGCTTATGCATACAGATATAGACACATACTATACACAATAGGATATATTGAAAAAAGGCACAACAATAACTATATACAAAATAACTACGTTTAGCACCTTTTTTATATAATATGAATTGTCCCTGCAAATGCACCACACATGTTTCTAGGCCTGAAAACAACAACTCTGGTTAGCTACAAATGTAGAATTGCAATGGAAACACGCCCATCCCCTTGTTGACAGATGGATGCGTCATTCCTCCCGCAGGGGGGCGCTGCTCCCCCGGAGGAGGACTCTCCGCCTGCCCGAGCCGAGGTTCAAGACATTACCGTGTGTGTGCTGTGTGTGTATCCAGTGAAAAAACACCCCAAGACGGACTGGCACAGTTTTTCTAGCCGTACCAATGTGTGTGGCCTATACATATACAGTATTAACCCGGGCGGAATCATCTCATGGACACAACACTGTGTCGAAAATGAAGGAATAATCGGGAGGAGACACACGGCCGAGGCTCGTCTGTAGCTTTTTTTGTTGAGTGGGATCACAGCTGCTGGCTACGAAAATGTCGGGGAAAATAGAGAGCAAGCAAGGTAAGTGCTGCCTGGCTTTACACACAGCTCCATAACGGGATAACGGGTAAAGATGGACAGAATTTGGAGACCAGTACAACCTTTAAATGGCTCTCAATGTAACGTTTGAGGAACATTGTAAATGGTGGTTTAATTGGGCCTCACGGAGCAAATGGCTTTTTTCTGTAACGTTTCATGCTGGTTGGAGATAACTAGCTGGTTTCCTGACCTGTAAAGATGTAGAACACTAACATTACTACTCCATTACTGTGTTGAGAAATGTGACGTGTACTAGCCAAGCTTATAGAATCCCATTTAAATGTGCTATCATTCCTACTCCACCGGCTTTTCACCATTCACTTTCAGCTTAACGGTCGTAAATATACCCTGGTTTGATTGTTTGGCAGCATTGCTAACATTGGGGAACAAATCTCAGCTTTTCACCCAGGAATAAACCATTTAAAGCCATTACATTACTAAGAATATGGTGATTTAACATCCTTTTTTGGCATCATGGTTAACCGTTAGCTGACGTTTAAAATGGGTTTGTAACGGTAGCTAGTAGCAGCAGCTAAAGGTTAGCTTTTCAGTGGCTAATGTTAGCTTCGTTGTGTCTAGTAGTTGAAATGCGTTCACGCCCAAGACTGTAGTGTGTGTATATTTGTGTTGTGTTGATTTCAGCATTGTGCACGTGGCGTTTTTTGTGGTGTTCTTGTTGTGCATGTCTTACTAGAAGAGTTCATTTTGTATGCAGCTGTAAAGACAATAATGCAGAGTGCAGTGAGAATGAGGGGAAACAGGGTGGTCTCAGTTTGCCTTTTATGCAGAGGTGGAGAAGTACTCAGACCTTGTACTTGAGTAAAAGTAGAAGTACCAGAGAGTAGGAATACTCTGTTACAAGTAACATTCCTGCAATCAAAATGTTGCTCAAGTAGAAAAGTATTATCATCAAAATATAGTTAAAGTATCAAAAGTAAAAGTAGTCATTGTGCAGATTGGTCCATTTCAGAATAATATATGTTTTATAATGATTGATCATTAAAGTGTTCTCAAAGCTGGTAAAGGTGCAGCTAGTTTGAATGACTTTGTATACTGCAGGGTAGCTTGTGAATTTACTCCAGGTGGAACTAAAGTCTGATTTAACACTTGATTGATTATATTGTTTATCCACAAAGTAACTCGATGTATTACATAAATGTTGTGGAGTAAAAGTACAACATTTACCTCTGAATTATACTGGGGTAGAAGTACAAAGTAGCAACACAATTGAAATACTTAAGTACAGTACAAGTATCTCAGAAGTGTACAAAAGTACAGTACTTGAGTACATTTACTTAGTTACTTTCTAACACTGCCTTTTTGGAAGGAAACTTTATACCCGCTAGCTACACTTGCATCCCACTCCACCAGCTGTCTCCCTGCTTTGCTACACACACACACACACACACACACACACACACACACACACACACACACACACACACACACACACACACACACTGTCCTGTCTGGCGATGCCTGCAGTAAACAGACACACACACAGATCCCAGTAACAGGCGGGAGGGAGTGTCACACACCACTAGCTCAGTCATTCTTCATAGGCGTAAAAGTTTCCGATTCCTTTCGTGTCTTGCAGACAGATGACTACATATGGTCACAGCTAAATGAAAACTCACAGGCAGTGTAGTGGATTGTGGTTCAATGATAAGTTAAAAGCAAATAAAGGCTGATAGCCACTAAGAGCCCAATCCATCACTTCTTTCAGGTGGACCAGGCTTGTGTTTACCAGGTCACTTATTGGCCTGCAGTCTGCCTCCACACACATCCATTCTGAACACACACCCAGAGGACACCCTATGCTGGACGCCAATGAAATGTGCAACAGGGCTGCAACTGCTCATCACTTTCAATTCATCATTTGGATTATTCAGTTTTAGAAAATAATGGGAAATATGATATCCATCCCAGTTTCCTTTTCATCTCTTGTTTTGTAAGTCCAAAACCAAAATAATTTAAATTAAATATGATATAAATCAGAAAAGAAGAACATCTCCATAACTAAGAGGCGGAAAACTATTTTCTGGCATTTTGCATGGAAATGTACTTTAACAATTCTCCTTATAGTTGTTTTTTCTTTTTCTGAAGGATTGACTAATTCATTATTCGACTAATCGTTGCAGCTCTTAATTGTTAAAGAAGCAATAAAGGCTAAGGATAATAGGCACTCTGAGTCCAATCAATCACTTCTCTCATGTGGACCTGCTTCCTCAGGCTTTCTAGTTGTTAACCAGGTCACTTGTTGTCTCTGCTCTCTTCAACATCGATCCTAAATGTGTACCCAGAGGACACTCTATATATCGGATGCAGATTGAACAAGCCTGTGGGCTGAAACTGAAAAACTGTGCAGCAGGCAGTGTCAGCTTGTTAAGCCCTTTCCTTAGAGAGAGGGAGAGTGTGTGAGAACTGGAGGAAGTAGATGGTGTTAAAAGGAGACTTCTCTATGTGGGCTTAGGCTGTGGAGACTCGACAGAAAGGGGACCCGTTTTAGACCTCGACAGCAGGAGATTCATTCCCTGGTGCCTGGAGGAGCAAATTAAAAGGGAGCAGATTTGGATAAAAGCGAAATGAAGTTCACTCCTGCAAGTCGGTATTTCTGCGTACGAATATATGGGTTGTTAAGGTTTAAAAATGGTGATGTGCATGCAAATGGTTACCATAGGACACAGACCAATAGGACTATCTATGCACAAAAGGACACCAAGCTCCAGCAGGAGACTTATGGCCACTATTTCTTCTGGAGTCACCATAGATACTGTGTAGTCACTGACTATGTTTACATGGACAAAATAGATGGCCCTTATTATGAAAAAGACAATATTCCTCCTTAACTGTTTTCAACGCTAATACAAATGTATTTTCCACTAATTTCCCATTTAAATTCAGCTGTGTACAGTCTGATTAACGTGCTTCTTTGCGTCAAAAGAGGATTTTTCAAAGTTTTAAACCATATGCCGACCTATTTGATCGTAGACATTATCATTCTTTTAATCACTTATTGATTTGCTTTGTGATAATGCGCACATCCCATGTCATATGAATGTTTAAAAGTAGGTGCGTTTGTCCTTCCGATCAGAAATGTGGAATATTACTGTGCCTATAAACATGTTGTTGTCATTGATTTGTCCTCCGTGGGTGGTAACACTGACACACTCTTACCTGTTCAGAGGCACTCCTCCCTCCAGAGAGAAGCTTAGAGGCAGGATGTCATCATACAGAGAAACACGTGGGTGGCTCTTAAGTCTGTTTCAACACTGAACCCCATTCTCTACACGCACCCTGATGACCTCATCTCTCAGGCAGCCCGCACTGTAATCCATAAACACATCCAGAGTCTGGGCAGCAGCCGACAGACACACTCATCTCCAAGGCTCTCCTCAGAGGAAAGAACTGCAGGGTGGAGAACACTGGAAATATGTGCATTTTTCCGTTTACACTTGGTGTAATGCATTGTTCAAATGGACTCCGAAAAGAAGGGCTTTCTGTTTTTGTTTTATGTTCTCAAACTTGAAGAGGTTTTAAACTTGCCTTTACTCCTGCACATAAGGTGTTATAAAATCAATGTTAGTTCTAATTAACACCTCTTTAGATTGGAGGTCTCTTTTTAATTTGTGTCTAAAATTTGGCAAATGTATGTTTTTCCTCACCAGTGCGATGAGAGATATAACATGGTTTGGGGCTCAATTATATCCCATACTTTGGTGTATAGTAAAGCCATGCTATTCCAGTTTATGTATAGTGACTTTCTCTCTGAGCAATTAGTTCAGATTGTACTCTATTTACAAGCTTTAATTCTTTAGCAGTTGTTTGTGAATGCTTATTGTTTACTGAAATTAGTCAAATTGCTCATTGTTTAGTATGTGTGTGTTTGTCTAATGTAATGCCTTAAATGACCTAATTAGACACCCTGGAATGATTTCATTGTTGCAGTTAGTGAGACATTTAAAGCAACACTCTTGAAAACAAGCTGTGACGCTGAAATTAAGCACAGAAACGCCTTTAGCTTCGCATTGTCGAAATAAACCCACTTAAAACACAGCGAGGTGCACATCTGACTTTACTTTTAGACAACATAGTGCTCCAGTGTATGAACTTTTCATTCACATTCATTTGAATTGTATTTCGACTGCAATTTATAACCACTACAGCTGCTCCTTGTTGCCAGAATATGTGAACATTGTTTCCAGTCTAAAGGCCATAAAAGGGGTTTTATTCTGAAGATAAGTGAAAGCTTTAAAAGTCCAATTTATGCTACCCTTTACTAAGTAAAAAAAGTACTTTGGGCCCTACTAATTGCATTTGATAAAATGATGTGTTAGGGCACTTAAGAGTCTTTTTATTTGTGTCTCTGGCTAATGAACACACACCTTCATGACTAAAAGAAACCTGGATTATCACTTTGTATTATTGCAATGTATGCAGTTGCAAAACTTGTATGTCCATATCTTCCCACAGGAGACTGGGATTGAGACACAACAGTTCTTGCGTGCCGCGTTGGTAGCACAGTTGTCGGAGCTGCACAATGTTTTATTATTAGCCTGTTGGCTCCGCTCGTTCTGGACAGTCAATGGTAGTAGCCAGCCGCAGCGGAACTGATCCATCAGTTCCTTATTTTAGGCTGCGCCCCCCTCCTCTTCACTGTGTGGGAGTTGTGTATTTCCTTTGAAAGGGTTCAGCTGCAATGCAAAGAGTTTACTCTCAAGCATTCCTAGAGTTAACACTCAAGTGCAAGTCATTTGGGTGGCTCTGTGTTTGCTAAGTGGTTACTGCATCGCCTCACACTGACATATCTGCTTCCTCTGATGTACAGAAATAGCAAGCTCCACATGCCTTAGTCACCAAAACTCTGAGCAAGAGTTAAAGCAGTCGTGATTACCAAAGGGTTCCCCGGAGGATCAGGTCGTCGCACATTGCTGATGAGCGATGCCACTGTTGCACAGGGCAGATATGGCTCTGTTTGACAT